CAGCAGAGTGAAAAGGAAGTTGTTATTACATTTACTAATATTGGTCGTGTGTTGCGAGATTTTGAAACCTTTTCAAGAGTTGCTCGCTCAGAGATTTCATCCTATTATTTTTCAAAGACTTGTAGAGGCAAATCTAAGGGTAAAATTGCTGTTCTGGTAACTGAAGAAAAGCCATTACAGATCAAGTACATTAAAAGGAAAAGTGAGATAATTTTCAAGTGCCATTACTCATTCGAGAATGAATTTGGTTATGTTTTCAGCTAGGCCAGTTTAGCACCGAACAGTGATGAATGCTCTACTGTGTTGTACAGTGACAATGTAGATATATTTTTTGTGTTGAACAGATGAACAGCCTATGCAGTGATTTTTAAAGTTTAAGCCGTTGATTATGCATTGCGATTGGATTATGCTGGTACTGCTGGTATTATATCATATCACATACTGTATGTGTTGGAATGTAACATGTTGTAGAAACTGATGCAAGCACATACAGCCGGTTTCACATTCCTTTCTGGCAGTACTGGAAAAATTAGTTTTTAACCCATTAACGTCCAATACTTTCTCCTGATGTGTAAAATTGTCTGGCATTAGAGAGAGCAAAATAACAAAGTAGGGTGCATTGGAGCTTAATGGGTTAACAATAGGTACAGGCAGATAGACTGGTTAATCCATCAACGTCCAATACTCTTACCTTAACAAGTAAAATATCTGGCGTTAGACAGTATAAAATAACAAAGTAAGGCTCACTGGGGCACATTGCAGTTAACTAGTTAATTTAACCCATGCACCAATTAATGGGCATTGCACTCCAATTCACCTTACCTTAATATTTCACTCTGTCTCACGCCAGACAATTTTATTTCTAAATCAGTATTTTACTCTTTTAGAGAAGGTTCTTGCGCATTAATGGTTACAGCAGTTTCGCGAGATTTGCTACCCCTGGCGGAAAAGACCTAGCAGCAATATAGTTGTTTTTCACATTCAGGTGCAGTCACTAATTATATGCCGGTTTGTAAACAAAGCCCCTGGTTGGTTCGAAATAAAAGAAGCCAATCAAATGCTAAGTGATGTCAAATTAGTGACTGTCCCTGAATGTCAAAAACAACTATTGCTAACAAGACTTTTCGCAAGGGGTTGCGAATCTCGTGAAACTGCTGTAATTAAATTCCAATTCACTTACATTATGGAATACGACGTTAAAATTATACTGTTATATCAACAGTTAACCAGCTTTAGCTAGTAATTAGATGAAGAGGATCTGCAAATTCTATAGTGGCTAAATCTGGTTGACAGTGGATAAATGAAAACACTTGCAATTTCTTGGAATGTAACTTGTAAGTTTTGTAGTAAAAAACACTTATAATGATTGTATTACAACAATACTAATATATATTAAATATTTAATAAACTTTCATGTTAAAAAGTATATTTACAATAATAAAATATTATAAATATTTTTGCATTTAAAAATGCACAAACCAATAACCTGTATTATTAAATAGCATGTAAACCTTTGACATAAACATATATCAACAATCTCCACAACACATAACTGGTTGTTACTGCTGCTTAGGCATTTCTGCCAGTTTGAAAATTTTGGCATAAGCCTACTGTCATTACGAAAACAAACATTCATCCTCCAGGCTGCAGTTTCAATTCTAAATATTAAAGTTTCAAACCAGAATCAATCTTTCCCTCAGTGACACTTTTTTCAATAAGCCTCATCAATGGGTCCCCACAAATTGAACATTTTGCATCACTAGGGTTAGTTTTTAATAAACCACAGTTGCTACTGATGATGAATTCTCAAACATTCTAGGTGGAATATAGGCTTCATTGTGGCTTTTGTTACCTGGGAGCTCATAACCATGTTCTGGTAAACCATACTAACATAATATATTCATGCTTAAATATTTCAAGCCACCGCCTTTGATAAGTTGTATTTTGACTTATTTTCTTAAGGAAAATATGTTTGGCTTCCCGCCCTTCCATGGTGACTATAGCCAAGCCTTTACTGTACTGTGAAAACACTTGTTGGGCATCAACAGGGACAATATGTCCCAATGTCCAAACAGTAGGATTTACAGATGTTGACAAAAACATTGCATTCACCCTCAAATACTCTTGTGCTGCAAGAGTAAGCTGGGCGAGTTGCTCTTCTTTAATGTCAAATCTGTTTATGAGAGACACACTGTCCCGTAGTCTCTGCCCTAAGTAGGCAAAGACAAGGATAGCCTGTCTGTCTGCTTTTGTGTCATTATCATCACTTAGTGCATTGACTAAGCTCATATAATTGTAACAAAACCTACGAGACTCCTTGCCTGTGAACCTGTATTGCAAATCAGGCCCAGATCCTTGGGTGTCATCAAACCACCGCTTAACTTTCTTGCAAAGGCACCCTGCTTTTACCTGCATTTTCAATGAACTAATAAGCCTGCCACAAACACTCTTCTCGGATACTTCAAAAAATGTCTTACAACTTACTGGGAGTTTTGATTTTCGAATGGCCTCTTTCAAAACACCCTTAAAAAAATATTGCCAGGCATTATTTTTTAGGTGCAAAGGCTCCACATGTGCCTGGTCAATGTATTTGTCCAAAAGTGGCAGGAATTCTTGCCTGCCTTTTGCGAGGCAATAAATTCTGTGACTTTAGTCCATTTAACTTTGCAAGATAATGGTTTTTCTCAATTTTTCTCTTAAAAGATTCCACCTTTCCAACAACACTGACCCTTTGTTTATATTCCTATGGCTGCCATTTGTGCCCTGGTTCTGGACCAAAAGATGCCTGCAAGTCAGTTGCATCATCTTTGCAAACATTAGCAAAGGGAGAGAAGTACTTAGAACTAATTAAAAAACGATGACTAATTAATTCGTTACCATTCTCCTTGGTAAAACACGGAAAATTCGCGCAATTTTTAATGACATGCAAACTGCCGAAAATCATTGCTTGCTGACCCGGCGTGTGTTTTTCTTCATTTTCTTTAAATCATCCACAGTGGCTATTTCATCTCTGGTCAAAACACAGACCTGTTTGTAGCCAAGTTCATTGCCTCCAACATACTCTCTAATCTCCTACAATTAATTGATTTTGTATAAATACAATACATGTGTAGTCTTTCCTATCCTTGCTATTGCTGTAACATCACAAATTTTACTTTACTTTTAAGTTTTAGCTTACAGTAACTTGTCCAGGGTCACATTCACATGGATATTGAAGGCCCACACACTGACTGTGAGAATTACAATAAAACTCTCTATAACTTGTACTTACATATCTCTCCACATCCTCCACACAATCGATGGCAGTGATCTTCACTCAAATTGCTGGAAACCATTGTCCATTTGGTGAGATCTGAACAGAGCATTGCGGATTGATCCATGTAAGTGCCTTAATTAAAAAAAAATATGCTTGTAAAAAGACATACATTATTATGGTATTTTATTATATAAATTAGTACAAAATTATAGTAGACTGAGTCATTAAATTAAACTGTGTAAACTACAAAAATCTGCTTAATCATACATGTTTATTATTAAAGCCTCTTTTCAAATCTTTTTTCATTTCTTTATAAAACAGATTTTGCAACTTTTAAAACCTTGATAAACTAAAGAATACATATTGTTGGTGGGTTTCACCAAAGTAGCCCACCCCGGGTCTTATTGTAATCCCGGGAAGTTATGTATTAGCATTACATATGAAATATTTGCGGGCTGTAGCCCGTGCTAACACACGCATTGAATAAAACTGTTTACAATTTTGTTCCCGAGCATGCCCGTTCGCAGGTTAAGCTATGCCCCCCCCCTCATCTGTGAACGAGCATGCTCGGGGAACAAGATTGTACTGTTTAATAGCCCGCAAATTGCAAGCTTCAGCACTGAGCTATATATTACATGTGTAATGCTAATACATTTACTTCAATAAGACCTGAGATGGACTCCTTATGTTTCGCCATGCTTAGACAGTAAATCAAAGTCAAATGTACATTAATTAATTGGCAAATTAGATGTATTTGTGACATCATTAAGTCTGTACATTGTGAAAAGATTTATTTACATAAAATATATATCATTGAAGTTCACCAATTTACCTTTTTGATGTCCTTTTTTAAAAGATTGTAGTGCCCAACCTGCAGCCATATTAATAATGCAGTTGTGGTGATCCATCAGTCTTATCACATGGCAAATGATTGAGGATCTTTTCTAGTTTGGGCCGAATTCCAGCAGTATAATGCAACTAAAAAGCACAATCTTGCAGCAATTGATTGAAAAACTAGGCCTACACTGATGTTTCAACAAAGTACACAGCAGTCACATACCAAGCAATATGCATACAACACCAGATTCATCCCTTTTAGCCATCTCGGCTGATAATTTGGATATATCGTAAACAGAATATTGAACAAATCACCCAGATAAGGTTTCTCTGAAAACTGCCACAGTTCCTGATGTTGTGACACCCATGCCACAAGCACACCCTAAACGTGGCAACAGAACTATAAGACAATATTAAACTATGTGATTACTGATTACTTTCTTATCATGTAATGCAGTGCTCTCTTCATACTTGATTATTATATTGAGACTTGTATGACTGTTAGAAAATTAATACACATCTTCCCTGAGCCAACAGCGCGAAGCCAGGGCCGGATTAACGTCGCGCGAGGCCCGTGGCAGATTTTCATCGCGAGGCCCCCAACCCCCTCCCCTCGTTATGAAAACCATTGAATTCAAAGACACACAAAATTGTTAAATATAAAAAAGTTAAAAGGTTAAAAAGTTTATATATTGTAAAATACTGTAGAAAAAAAAGCCTAATTATGCACTAGTTGATTCAAAATATTGGTGCACTTACTTGTTTACTGTGTCATACATTTACTTCTATCACTTTCGTTTATATCTTGCTTAATTAGTTCTTGAAATATATTCACTGTGATAGGCCACCAGTATCGATTAGATACAATATGTGATTAATTTTTCGTAAAAGTATCAAGGTATCGATTACCCAAATGATTACTTTCTCCAATTTTCAAAATAATAAATGCAAGTCACTTAATAAAGAGCCGACTGTTAAAGAAGTAGCCTTCTACTGTAACAGTAACAGTATATTTTAAGAAAGTTACATATTTTTATTAACTAAAACGATTTGATCCACAATTTTATAATCCATTAATTTATTTGAAATTAATTTATTTCCCGCCTTTTTTATAAATTATTCTGTCAGCGAGGTAATTAGGAAATAGGAATATTAAAGTGGATAGAATGTCAAATAAAGTATTACGTTTGATTAAATTGATAAATGCAGCAAAATACAAAAAAGTACATTAGTATAATAGTAATAACAACAACAAACTAACAGAAATACAATTACAGTTGAACCCCTATTAAGCGGACACCTTCGGGACCTCGCCTAAGTGTCCGCTTAAAAGGGGTGTCCGCTCAAAAGGGGTATGTAGAAAAACACAGCAGGAGGCAAAGGGGTGTAATTAGGTGTGTAATTTGAGTATCAAAACAGTAAAAAATATCAAGCAAATAATTAGCATAAAATGAAAATTTGTGCATAAAAGTTCATTAGAAAATGTATATGTCTCTCACAGTCATATAAGAAAGGAATCGATACAAGTTTGCTTCCGAGGCTCACGCAGACGATAGTCCATGGCGTTAGAAAGTTCTTCCAAACCTCGAAATTGTGCGAATTCTGCCAGCCGCTCGACAAATTTAAGAGCTTCGGAGGAAGATTTAATGACTGGTTCGTTAAGAGACCAGTCAAATTCATCATCTTCGTTCAGTTCATTGTCACCATCAGTGATCTCACACATATCTTTCTGCTCCTTGGCTGGCGGCTCACAGTCTTCGTTCGTCACTTCCGTAATAATCTTGGTTCTGATGTCTTCGCGCCAGGTTGGTGTGTCACTGTCAATGTGCCATGTAAATTGATCTCAATTGTTATTTACTGTCGAATATTGAATACATTTTATCAGAAAATCCGTCATCTGTCCGCTTAAGAGAGGTTGGTTTGCCCATTTGGACCTCAAGTAAGGTGTCCGCGTCCATTAAAGAGGGGTGTCCGCTTAATAGGGGTTATGATAATAGTATTTTATTAAAGAAAACGAATGGGACCTGAGATATGTGTCCGCTTAAAAGAGGTGTCCGCTTAAGAGCGGTGTCCGCTTGGGAGAGGTGTCCGCTTGGTTCTACTGTACATACATATCTTTCATATCATACATAATCAATTGGTAACTCCAGGCTTAGTTACTATAGCTCCAAATGATTTTTGGAGTTTAAGTAACATAGCAAACTAACTCCAGGCTTAATTACATTATATCAAACTAAAATCACACCTAAATCATATAGAATACATAGAAACCAAGTAAGTTTTATTTAATTTAAAGTCAATTTTTAATGCCAAATATAATAAAATTAAAAAACAATCACAATTGTTATATCACAATGGTATCTCTTGGTAAGAGAAGACAATAACTTTTTTACTGCAAACCTAGATGGTCTGTCATGATGCATTTTCTAATTTCATCTTACTTTCATCTGCAACATTTCTGAAATACACTGCCTTCAGTTGTTCCCAATACTGCTGCACCATAACAATTGTAGTATAAGGGCTGAATGATAATGTACCACATGGGAAGCTATTCCTATTCAGTCATCCTCAGGTAAAGGTATTTGTCTGAAACAAAATATTATATTTTTATTTTATTAATTTAAATTGCAAATTTTCCTAATGAAAATTTAAACAAAATTCCAATGAAATCTCAGTTTTGCAAAGTGGAAACACCAAAGACCCCTGGGGACGAGGTTGTACATGTCGTTTTATTATAAAAATGGAATACTGAACAAAATGCAAGTCAAAGTTGGCCAAGGTTGTTGAGTTTGCAAAAAAATTGCACATAACATAGGTAATAGTTTGAAATGTTTTGTATATTAATTAAATGCATCTATCCTTAATAATCCTGTAGCACAGTATAGGGAAGGACAGTGTCAGTGTTGCCACTAAAAACGTCGGATCCTTTGAAGTTTCTGTCCACATTACAGAAAAGTCACATTACACATGTCGCTTAGCTAGTAAACTGCATGTTATGGCTAATAAGCATGCTGAACATAAAATATGAGGACATGTTGTACCCCAGAGTGTAACTACTGTCCCTCCCTATGCTGTGTCCTCACTGTCCTGTAGACTTGAACGTGCAAAGCACTATGGTTGACACACGCAAAGCACTATGGTTGACAGGCACAAAGCACTATGGTTGGGGTTGACACATGCACACAAAGCACATGGGTTTTAACACTTTTTTTTTGAAGACTGCCAGTTGCCCAGTCTGGCACAGCGAAATCTACCTTCCGATTATTTAAAGCTTCTAAACTATAAATTTTCGGCACACAAAAAACTGTGAGTCTTATTCACACTAATTTACAACCAAAAAGATTTGCTACAAACCTTGTTTCTTTCTTTGAGAAAGCATGCCCTGAACAATTCAGTAGTCATTGTCCGGAAACAGCCTCATGCGATGTCTTGGTTCGATGAAGCTCTCCGATTATGTTTAAACTAAAGTCAGCAAACAAACAAATCCCCATCTTCTTTAATACACATGCAGAGACAGAGATATAAAGTGTCGTACCATTTAACTCACTACAATGATTAAAACGTTTTATAACTTTTTTACTATTCCACTTTTTTCTCCAAGCTGTTTGTATTTCGATGTCCACTTCATATTTCACCATTTAATGCATCGTGAAACGTACTACGCATACTCTACAGGATTTGTATGTGATTGCAAACCTGTGACTGTGTATTAAAAGTTGGGCTACATTTTACTGGTATTTTCAGTGAAAAAAAATAGATGCTTTTATTGTCGCTTATACAATACCAGTTATACAGTTACCCACTCATCCATATATAAGCCATAAAATGTAAATTTATGTTTAACAATTAATGTTTGTTTACGTTTGTCAAATTTTATTTACTATTTTGATTTTGAAGTAAGAATTGTTTAACTTTTCCATTAAATGAGAAATTCGGTAGAATTTTAAAGTTGCAAGGAAGTTCTTGCCAAAAATCAACTGCTATTGAATATACAGACTATTTTCCACTGAAAAATAGTCATAACAAATTTCTTATTTTTTACTGAAAATAGTCATCACAAATTTCAGGTAATTCATTTTTTTGCCATCGATAGGAACTTACTGCTCGGGTAATTCATTTTTTTGCCATCGATAGGAACTTACTGCCACAGTGATAAGAGTCTTTATTGCTTCCCGGAATAATTTATAGTTGAAATTAATTATGCAAAATAAGTAATGTGTGTGTGCAAGTTAATTTAAGTATAGTCACATGATTGGAAATTTCGGTATTCATGGTTGCCATCTATTCAAATAGGGGTAACCACTGGAATATTCTATTTATTTTCATTCCTGATCATATTATGTTGAATAGCTTTATAATACTAGATTTCGTGCCTTCTAAATTACTTTTGTTCCCTCGAATTGCTTTCCCGTAATAGTTCTGCCTCTTGTCAATCACTTTATCTCTCAACCGACCCTTTCCTCCAACTGATTAACCATCTGATAGCTTCTTTCTTATCATTTTTATACTTCCTCAAAGCAGTTCCCAATCTCTTCTATACATGTCCCACACACTCCTTTTTAATCTGATAAGCAACACCAAATTCTCTTTCAAGTGCCTCCTTGACCCGACCAAAACTGCTGTTATCTCTGTCCCCGACAAACGTTGTATACTTCAATTGTCTAGTGTTTATACTTCTGCTGAAAATTGCTACAGCAGCCACAACTTCCATCTCTTCAGACGATCCTTTATGATTTATCTCACATTTCAGTTCATGAGCACTCTTTATACTCCTTTAAGAATCCTGATTATTATGAACTTTGCATTCATGGCAGAAAAGGGACTTCACTTCATGGTCCAGAATTTCTCCAGTATCTACAGAAATAACAAAGATCACAACTACTCTTGAGGAGTGACCTCTTTTCTGCCATGTACTGTCAATAATAACTGATACACAAGCAATCGTATCTTCACTGTCTTTCTTCAAAGTCTTCCGGCCGTGCTAAGGAGGCCTTTTCTCACAATCGTTTGGAAGCGTCTTTCATAATATATTCGGCATTGACTTTCACAACCTGTTCAATTTGGATCAGATGCTTATTATATGCATCTTTAGCAACTGGAGGAGGCAAGTTCATTCCAGCACAAAACTGTGACAATCCTGAATGTCAAAACTGATAAGAAGCCAAAGCAGCTCGACAGTTGACTTCATGAGCCCCATCACCCTTGCCACCCAAACGCTTACTTGTGGACAATAGATTCACCACCTCACAAATTGAACATTTCAGGAATAATGACTCTGATAATCCTTCTCTTGCACTGTTTGTTTGGTATAAACTGAGTCTCGAAGTTGGTTTACAGCAGGAACCACATATTGCTGCAATTGAAATGCAATCGTTCAACAGAACAGCATCTTGAAGCTTGAAGCCTGTAGCCATTTCTACATCACACACCAATCCTAAGCAAATATCTTTCACATGTTTTCGGGTCAAAATTCCTCTCCTGCTCTCGAATTTCTTTAAAGAACTGTTCAGCAGTTTCTTAGATGCAATACTCTCATGATCAGCAGGTAAATTAGACAATCGTGTCTACAGGGTGTATCAAAATAAACGCAATTCATCTTTTGTGCTTAATAACTTTCGAAATACTATTTCTAGTTAAACGCTTTTAGGCTTACTTCAAAGCCTGTTCTTTTCTCTTTCAAACAAACTATTATCCTTGTCTCCAATGCTAGTAATAATTGCACAGGAAAAGATTTAGTAAAACCTATCATTTTTAGTTGTTGTTTAATTATGCAAGTTTACTATGTTATTGTTTAGTCGGTTTAAATGTTAGAATTT